ATAGTTATCAAGAACACAAAACAGTTCTTTAGCCCCTCTGTCCTGGGGGTTGTCAACATTGATGTTAAAATCACCAACAATGACTAGACGGTCAAAGTCAATACACACTATAGACAGCAGTTCAGTAAAGTCATCAAAAAAGCTTGCACAGTATTTGGGTGGTCTATAGATATTTAGGAACAGAGCTCGAGAGGAGCATTTCAGCCGGAGGGCCACATATTCAAAAGAATCAAAGTTTCCATAAGATGTCTTCCTGCATTGAAGGGCATCATTGAACAGAATAGCAACTCCACCCCCTTTCTTATGCATTATTTCCTGACTCATAAAACTAAAGTTGGGAGGGGTTGATTCGATAAGAACAGCTGCACTGTTATTTTGTTCAATCCAAGTTTCTGTTAAAAACATAAAATCGAGATTGTGCTCAGTGATAAAATCATTGATTAAAAATGTTTTTCCTGCCAAAGACCTGACATTTAATAAAGCTAGTTTAAGTTTGTTAAACACACTATCAGTCATGTTTTTTGTAACAAGCTGTGGCTGACATGGAATCACTGCTAAATTAGATACACTCACACAAACGTTTGAGCGCTTCCTGTTTCTATGATTCACCGCTCTTAATCTATTACCTATCAACACAGATATCGGCAAAGCTACTGGCAGGCAGGGCCCCGACATGTCCTTGAAAGAGTTGAGAGTGCCATACGCCCTTGAGCCTGGACCCATCACATATCAGTAAGAGTTTGTTGTGTTTTGTACACACACATCCTTATCAGGCTTCGGAGACTGCAGAAGCCCCCTCGAAGGGAGGGGAGGTGGTCGACGTAGGCACGGTGATGGAGACGGGCTAGATGGTGCGGGGGTAGAGGACATACTGCCAGGGGGGGGAGGTGGTTGACGTAGGCGCGGTGAGGAGGACGGGGGAGATGGTGCGCGTCTCCGCGGTGATTTTGGTGGGCGTCGTTGAGGAGCGGGGGTAAAGGACATGGTGCCAGCCCTGCGTATCGCCTTCGTTTGGTCTTTGAACTCCAGGAAGGAATCGGTGCCAACCCTCTGTATCTCCTTTGTGTGTTCATCGATCTCCAGGAGGGTGGGCGAGGGTGAAAGGGTGAACGGAGTATCCTCAAAGGCGTTGACAGGGGGGGGGGGCAGTGGAGACTCCTCCATGTGTCTCATATGTCTCCCATAATCAGAACATTCCTCAGGCGGGTGCAGTGATAATTCTTCAGGGTTTTCTGCGTGATGTGTTGTGTCTTTCTCGTGTTTTGATTCCTCCTGCCGCTTGTCCTTGGCAGAGGGAACAGATTGATGACGCAGGCAGTTGAATATGTTAGAGATAAACAATTTCACTCCTGACTTGTTCAGGCAAACTCCATTTGCCTTGAAAATATGTCTGCGATCCCAGAAAAAGTTAAAATTGTCAATAAAATGAACAGAATGGTCAGTACAGGCCGTTGAAAGCCAGGTGTTCAGTGCAAACAATCTGCTGAATCTCTCCACTCCTCTTCTGACTGGCGGTAGAGGGCCACTGATGAACACCTCTGCATTTAGAGAGCTGGCAGTTTCCAACAAACATTTAAAGTCTTCTTTCAGCACTTCTGACTGTTGTTTCACAACATCATTTGTTCCAATGTGCAGTACCACATTCTTCACAGTCGGATGTTCAGCCCCAATATGCAGGATCTTCTCAGCCAAGTCAGAGACCACATCCTTGGGAAAACAGAGTACTTTGGTGTTGTTCTTATTACACAGACCTTTTACATCTCTTACAGCAGAGTCACCCACAATCAGAGTTTCAGGCCCAGTCGTTAGCTTTCCCTCTAGCCTTTTACTTTTAGAGTAGCTATTGGTCCTTACCCTGCTGCGTGAAGAGGACAGGTTATCCAGGTCATCAGATCTCCGGTTCTCGGTCAGCGGAGCGTATCTGTTCTGGATTGGCACACTTGGTGGTTTAGGATTGTTTGTAATTCTCCCTTTAGCAGCTGTCCACGGCTGTTTCCTAGTATGAATAGGGGTTGAAGAGGCGCTCTTCCTGGGTGATAACAATGCAGGCCAGCCGGTCGCATCACAGATTTCGGAGCTCTGGGCTCTGCCTGTTATCCGTCCTCCCAAATCCCATGGAAGTGATTTACTCTTAGGCTTTGCACCCAGAGAGTTCCAGGGAGGACTACCACTTGTAGATTTATTACCCGGTACACAGCCCTCCTGTTCCTTGGAATCTTTGTAGCTGCTAACTAGCTGTGAGTTAGCATACCCTTCTCCATTACTTTGCAACACTGGTAAAGTCGTGTCATTCCCACGACATAGTCCATTCACTTCCACGTTAACTTCCAACCGTTGCATTTTCATTTCCAACACAGCCATCTTCTGTATAAGTTTCTGGAAGTCATCTGTAGAGAACGGAGGCATTTTGCTACCAACTAGCTTAAGCTAAATAGCAGTAGCCTACCAGGCTTTAGCTGTTGCTAGGCCACGCTATTGTAAGACTGACGTCGTCGTAAAAATGTTGAAATATGGCTGAAACCCTCCGTCTATTTACGAAGATGAACTGTCCCAGTGATAAGTTAATGTCCAGGAGCCGCTGCTCGAAGTTTTCAGAGAATAAGAATAGGAAAATCAGCATAAAAAGTAAGCAGAGGCAAGAGCAAGCAGAAAAGCGTCTGCACTGTAAGAAAGATAAGCTTGTAGATCCAGGCTAGAAACATGTTCATTTTCTGATGTTAAGTTGGACATTTTAACAAAGGGTCTACGGGAATTGCTCCCATCTGCATCCATCGCCTACAGTTTGCAGCATTGGGCTTCACCGCACTGTCCCGGGGTTTGCCGCTTGGCTCTGATAGGCCAGAAGTCGGTTTGATTGCATTAGGGCTCGATTGCTTATCCTGTCTGAGTAGCCCGGATGAGGCTGCATCGCAATTTTTGACGTCGAATTTTACACACCGAATTTTTTTACATCGAATTTTAAACACCGAAATATTTGATGTCGAATTTTTTTCACTTGAATTTTTGGGATCTGAATTTGAACATTCGAATTTTTTTAACTTGAATTTTTACAATTTTATTTCACATAGGTAAATTCGGAGCAAAAAAAATTCAGATTCATGATTTTCAAAGTAATTATTTTCAATGCTATAAATTCGGTGTCTAATAAAATTCAAATACTTCTGTCTCTTGTTTGCTTCCATAGATGTGAACTGAAACGTTTTTCTGTCGCAATATCATTTAAGGAATCGTTGAGCTAGCTAGCTAGCATACATTGTCACTATCTGCTAACGTTAGCTTTAGCCTTCGTTTTCTAATAGTTTTGTTCATAGGCTATAAACAGGTGGTATAAGTATGGATCTTGTACTTGAGTAAAATTAGAAGTACTCAGATCTTATACTTTAGTAGAAGTACTCAGATCTTGTTCTTTAGTAGAAGTACTCAGATCTTGTTCTTTAGTAGAAGTACTCAGAACTTGTTCTTTAGTAGAAGTACTCAGATCTTGTACTTGAGTAAAATTAGAAGTACTCAGATCTTGTACTTTAGTAGAAGTACTCAGATCTTGTACTTTAGTAGAAGTACTCAGATCTTGTACTTTAGTAGAAGTACTCAGATCTTGTACTTTAGTAGAAGTACTCAGATCTTGTTCTTTAGTAGAAGTACTCAGATCTTGTACTTAATTAAAGTATAGTACTCAGATCTTGTACTTGAGTAAAAGTAGAAGTACTCAGATCTTGTACTTTAGTAGAAGTAGCCTACTCAGATCTTATCTTGTAGTTTAATAAAAGTATTGTACTCAGATCTTGTACTTGAGTAAAAGTAGAAGTACTCAGATCTTGTACTTTAGTAGAAGTACTCAGATATTGTACTTAATTAAAGTATAGTAGGCCTACTCAGATCTTGTACTTGAGTAAAAGTAGAAGTACCAGAGTGTCTGTTACAGTAAAAGTCCTGCATTCAAAATGTTCCTCAAGTAAAAGTAGAAAAGTATTCTCATCAAAATATAGTGAAAGTAGCGACAGTAAAAGTAGTCGTTGTGCAGATTGGTCCATTTCAGAATAATATATATGATATGTTTTATAATGATTGATCATGAAAGTGTTCTCAAAGCTGGTAAAGGTGCAGCTAGTTTGAATGACTTTGTATACTGCAGGGTAGCTTGTGGATTTACTCCAGGTGGAACTAAAGTCTGATTCAACACTTGATTATATTTACCATCATTCATCCAGATCTGTGAAGTACCTAAAGGTATTAAATACATGTAGTGGAGGAAAAGTACACCATTTACCTCTGAACTGTAGTGGAGTAGAAGTACACAGTAGCAAAACATTGAAATACTTAAATAAAGTACAAGTATCTCAAAATTGTACCCAAGTATAGTACTTGTTGAGTTTATGAACTTAGTTACTTTACACCAGTGGCTATACAGATAGAAAGACTAAGCCTTGCACAGAGGCATGAAAATACATTTTCAAAATGCTCAACAGTGCTGCCAAAATTATAAACTGACTGCTACACAATTAAAATAAATGCTTTTATATATTTCTATTAGATGTGACTCTTTAACGTTTCTGTTATTATTGACACTGCTGCTTTAGTTGTTCTGATTGCTAAAATCCTCTGTTATTCCTCATTTTAAAGCCGATATTCCGTGGGGTCGGGGGCTCGGGTCCTTGTCACCTTTTTCATACTTGATGCGTTTGCCTCCCTGACTACAGTTGCTTTAGCGTGTAGAAGCTAGTAAGCCTACTATTTGATTTGATTTAGATAGGCACAACATATTTCATATGCAGACCTTATTTTCCTGTTCCATGTTCAAATAAACCATTTTCAGTGGTCATTTTTTTTTGGTCATGGAAAATTAAGTAAAGGTCATTGAAAAGTCTTGTAAAAGTCATTGAAAATTATTGGTGAAAAAGTGTATGAACCCTGAGTACCCCTCACTGCAGTGCGCAGTACCTCAAGCCCCTCCTTCTCAACCTTTGAGGCACGTGACTAACGGCGCCTCCTTCTCAACCTAGGCCCCTCCTTCTCAACCTAAGCCCCTCCTGGCACGTGACTAACGGCCCCTCCTTCTCAACCTTTGAGGCACGTGACATCCTGTTTCCGTGGTAGCAGTTCTGTCACGATGGAGGTAAGTATCCCTGAATAAATTAACTATTTGTTTTTGCTGCGGTTTAAAATGTGTTGATTGAAAGTAAAACTACATTTGTGTTGCTTCAAAATAGTAGGATTGCTGTATAAGCAAAGTCCTGAAAATTTTAGGAAAGTCTTTATATTATTTTAAGTCTCACTTATTTGCTGTCGTCTCCATACTTGCCAACCCTCCCGATTTTCGCGGGAGACTCCCGATTTCATTACCCTCTCCCGGTTTCCTCCCATGGTCATATTTCTCCCGCATTTCTCCCGATTTCTGACAAAATCAGATTTACTCAGGACTCTTTAATACAGCTACACCATTGTTTGGTTTCCATGGTAGCACGTCACTTTAGCAGCGCACGCAACTCAAAGTCTTAAAATGCTCCCGTTTTCTGAGGTCTCAAGGTTGGCAAGTATGGTCGTATCCCTGAAAAACTTTAGGAAAGTCATTATATTATTTTTGCACTACTTGAGAACTAATAACTATACTATGTAATAGTAGGATGGCTGTATAAGCAAAGTCCTGAAAAAACTATGCATAAACTATATTTCAATTCGATTTTTACAAAATAAATGTATATGCAGCTTATTTTATTCCTGCCTATTGCCTAACCATTTTGTTTGTGTTTATTTTCTTTGACCAGAAACACATCACACCATGATGGGAGCCCAAAAGTATATATTTGTAATTCTCGCAGTTATCACTGCCCGTTCTGCCAATACCAGGGTCAGAGGCTTCAGGTGGAATACCATGCCAAAAGCCATTCTTCTGTGAGGCACAGAGGTATAATAAATTGCTCTTTTTAGTGCTGTCTGTATTTTCACATTATTTACAATGAGAGCTTAATGTCTTCAAGCTTATTGACTTTACTATTGTTTCTTGTTTTCAGAGTTCACAATTGTTAAGTGTGGCTTAAGCTGCAGAACAGCAAGCCATTTTCATTGTCTTTATTGCTCACAGACCATAATTAATAGGGGCCATTTTTTACGGCATGTCTATTCACATGAGCCAAATGCTGTGACTGTAGGGCGACTAACAGCACCTGCCCAGCTCACCCCACCATCTCACCTGCTCACTGCAGCACCTGCCCAGCTCCCCCCACCATCTCACCTGCTCACTGCAGCACCTGCCCAGCTCACCCCACCATCTCACCTGCTCACTGCAGCACCTGCCCAGCTCACCCCACCATCTCACCTGCTCACTCCAGCACCTGCCCAGCTCCCCCCACCATCTCACCTGCTCACTCCAGCACCTGCCCAGCTCCCCCCACCATCTCACCTGCTCACTGCAGCACCTGCCCAGCTCACCCCACCATCTCACCTGCTCACTCCAGCACCTGCCCAGCTCCCTCCACCATCTCACCTGCTCACTCCAGCACCTGCCCAGCTCCCCCCACCATCTCACCTGCTCACTCCAGCACCTGCCCAGCTCCCTCCACCATCTCACCTGCTCACTCCAGCACCTGCCCAGCTCCCCCACCATCTCACCTGCTCACTGCAGCACCTGCCCAGCTCCCCCCACCATCTCACCTGCTCACTGCAGCACCTGCCCAGCTCCCTCCACCATCTCACCTGCTCACTGCAGCACCTGCCCAGCTCCCTCCACCATCTCACCTGCTCACTCCAGCACCTGCCCAGCTCCCTCCACCATCTCACCTGCTCACTCCAGCACCTGCCCAGCTCCCCCACCATCTCACCTGCTCACTCCAGCACCTGCCCAGCTCCCTCCACCATCTCACCTGCTCACTCCAGCACCTGCCCAGCTCCCCCACCATCTCACCTGCTCACTGCAGCACCTGCCCAGCTCCCTCCACCATCTCACCTGCTGACTGCAGCACCTGCCCAGCTCCCCCCCACCATCTCACCCGCTCACTGCAGCACCTGCCCAGCTCCCTCCACCATCTCACCTGCTCACTGCAGCACCTGCCCAGCTCCCCCCACCATCTCACCATCTCACTGCAGCACCTGCCCAGCTCCCTCCACCATCTCACCTGCTGACTGCAGCACCTGCCCAGCTCCCCCCACCATCTCACCCGCTCACTGCAGCACCTGCCCAGCTCCCCCCACCATCTCACCTGCTCACTGCAGCACCTGCCCAGCTCCCCCCCACCATCTCACCTGCTCACTGCAGCACCTGCCCAGCTCCCTCCACCATCTCACCATCTCACTGCAGCACCTGCCCAGCTGATGGTAATCAGAGTGATCACGCTCTTTGTTTCTTTACTTTTTCTAACTGATTTTGTTTTAATTGTTGGCATGTTTCATGTACTCTGTATTTTACTGACTGTGTGTTTGTATTCTGCCAGATCCTGAACAGCTGTCTTAAAGTTATTGAGAAGGTATTGAAGTTGTTCTAAAATATGTAAATATATGTATAAAACATACTATATTATACCAAACAATTATAAGATATTACATTATGAAACTACATCTGTTACAGAGAGTAGATGGTGTGTTTGCTGCCAACAGCCATGTTATAGCTGCCTGGTTTCCACCATCTTCGCTGAATCCGATGCAACACCTGCCGGTATTTTGATCATGATTATCCATGTTGCTGCTCCATGTTCTTGTACCAACTCATTACTGTAGTCACATCAACACAACTGTTTTTTTGCTTTTCCAGCAAAATGCAGCAAACCTCCAATGGCTTCTCCTTCCAGTGTGGGAACCTGGACACTGGACACTCTGTGTAAGTACATGTAGCTCTGTCTTTGCTATTGTTTGTTTACTGTACAATGAAGTTTGCCATGCCGCAAATAGTGTTTCTATCTTTCAATTCAACGCTTCATTTAGTTGTATAATACAGATCCTACAACTTTATAATATAACGTTTGCATGTCAAAGTATACCTGTTGATATTGGAACATGTGATATTAACAGATACTGAGGCCACAAGCTAGGGAGATTTTCTTTCTAGATCCCCTCCGTGGAACTGGCTGGAGAGATGATAGTCGCACCAAACCATTCAGGTTTTTTTGGCGCACAGTTACATCACATCCGGACAGTGGTAGTTCTGTTTTAGACCACTTGTCTATCTTTTTTTAATCTATGGCTCTGTTTTATTTGAACTAACATGGGATACATTGTATTTAATAAAAGGCATTGAACAGAACCATAGATGCCACTTGACAGCGGGGCTGTTCTGTTTGACCCCTTAATGACTTTTTTTTTGGAAGTTCAAGTTTGTTCCTGTTCCAACAGTGTTCAAAGATTTTCTGCCTGATTTTCGAGTACTTATAAAGTTGAATTAAATTGTACTTATTCTTAACTTTCACATGCATTGTTTCACAGAAACCTTGCTCAGATCTTGTGCCATTACAAATTAATGTTTGTCTTTCATTCACCAAGGTCTGAACAACAGAGGTCGCAAGACTGCAAGAGGCGACGGGAGGAAAAGGCAATGCAGGTAGAAGTTGTTGAATCACAAATGATAAAGTCTTGAACCAGTGTGAGTGTTAAACATGTAACCTGTCTTTGTCAAATATATTTCAGGATGAAGAGGTTGTGAGGTTCCACAAAAGAAGCAGGCCATAATTTGAATGCGTCATGAGTGAGCGCTGCTGGGGGGTTCACTAATGCCTCAAAATGTATTAGTTGTCATGATCTGTCTGTGTATTATTTTGTCCTGTCTTGTCTGTTGCTTTCTGTGTTCAATAACATTGAAAGTCCTGAATTCAAAGTGTTTCTTAAGTAAAAGAGTATAAGTATTATCAGCTAAATGTACTCGAAGTATCAAAAGTAGAAGTACATGCGGAATGGCTCTGTTCACACAGTATTATATTACCATTGATATTATCCTGTCAATTCTATCAATTTGTCAATACGATGGCACTTTTTTAATATATGTTTTTAAATACTGGTAGGAAATAATGTGATATGATTTCATTTATATCACATGTTTTTCAGTAAAAAGTGAGTAAATATACAATATTGGCTCTGAAATTAATATCAAATTAAAAAGTTAAAAAACAAATGAAGGCCCTTTCTTGAAGTCATAACTGAAATAATTGATGCAATTAACATGCAAATAGACATTAAAATATGCTTTGAAGGCTGTTAATGTGTTTAATTTGAGTTTTACATTTTTAAATGCCGTTGCCATGGCGACAGATCACTCGCCATCATCATTGGTATCATTATATTAATATGTTAAAATAGTTAATACTCTGACGCTATGATTAACAGAACAGAACTGTGAAGCTCGTCACGTGTCTCAAAGGTATATATATTTATATTAATATGTTAAAATAGTTAATACTCTGACGCTATAGAGGCTTCTCAATACTCAAATTTCCAATCCTCGACTCCTCGGTCCTCCGGTAGTGACCCGGAAATGAATTTCAGTGCGCCATTTTGAAGGACATCTAATTTCTCTAAATGCACACCGAGGATCGAGCGTCGAGGAGGCTCTCTGGAGGAGCTATAACCGAGGATACACTGATGGTTCCTCCACGGATGCATTTCCGGGAACGGTGGAGGCGTGACGCATGGCCGGACTTATCTCAGCCAATGACTGCTATGCATGCATCCCCTGGATATTATTTTAGAAACTGCTTTCATCGCGTCGCGATGTTTCCAGAGAGAACAGCTGTAAGGTCCATGCAGAAAGTAGAGCAGTGTGTATAATATATATCACTCAGTATAACAGGCCTACTCTCTTTATTTGCTTTAGTTTAGTAGATATCTACAAACAAAGAGTCGATATTTTTCTAAGACCATTGCTTCACATAATAAAATACACAACGGCTTATGCTTTAGGAGCTGTAGGTGTGTGTGGTACAGTGTGTAGGTGTGTGTTGTACAGTGTGTAGGTGTGTGTTGTACAGTGCGTAAATGCGGCGGACAGACGGGTCTCAGTTGGTTTGGTTTCCTCTGCTTACTTTTAATAGGCTACTTGTAAATACAACTTTTGGCCCGTAATTTCAATTCCCCATTTCAGCGACCAGAGAGAGGGGGGGATATATCCAGTCTCTGATTGTGTTACGTTATTATGAGAGTGCTCTCATACTTTAAATTGTATATTGTGGTGACCACCTATTTAACCACTGGGACATAATTCAAACTTGGAACTACAGTTGCGGTTATTGTTCCCACACGGAAATGTTATGGGTTACCTATAAATAGTGTGTACCCTCTTGGCTCTCTCTTGTCGACCCGGGCTGCGACCCGACAACATGTCCTTTGCAGCTTGTGAATAAATCACTATTCTTGCACCTTCCTTGCACCGCCTCTGACTCCATATCTCTCGGCACTACACTGGTGACCCTGATACGTCTTGAGAAGTTTCCGGGACGGAGCCGAACACGGCAAAAGGAACTCGAGTTCCTTTCTCGAAATGCCGGGGTTTGATTGGAGACGTCCGTGGCTAACCCTCGCCCATGCTCCATCGGCCCATGGGTGGCGCGCTCCGGGACCCTGTCTGGCCTCTCCTGCTTCCCGGGGATGCCTCAGCGCCTGCTGAGGACTTCATGCCCGCCGCGGCACGTCTGCCTGCGGCCGGGTTGCTCTCCTGCTTCCCGGGGATACCTCGACATCTGCTGAGGACTTCATGCCCGCCGCCGCGGCACGTCTGCCTGCGGCCGGGTTGCTCTCCTGCTTCCCGGGGATACCTCGACACCTGCCGAGGACTTCGTGCCCGCCGCCGTTGCACGTCTGCCTGCGGCCGGGTTGCGCTCCTTCCTCCCGGGGGGACTGCTCCTCTCTTCCGGGGATACCTCGACGCCTGCCGAGGACTTCGTGCCCGCCGCAGTTGTGCGTCTGCCTGCGGCCGGGTTGCGCTCTTTCCTGCTGGGTTCTCCGCGACACCTACTGCGGCCCCCTTACGACGGCCCGCCCCCGGTGTGGGTGCCCTCGCCCTCGTTAGGGCCCCTGCCCTCTCCTGCGGCCCCCTTTCGTGGCCCGTTCCATGGCCCGGTCCTCACCTGCGGCCCCACCCTCCTCGGCCCTTGTGGTGTTTCCTCCACGGACGTGGGGATATATATTTTTTTGCCATGTTTGAATTCTGGGTGGGCTTGTGTGGTGACCACCTATTTAACCACTGGGACATAATTCAAACTTGGAACTACAGTTGCGGTTATTGTTCCCACACGGACATGTTATGGGTTACCTATAAATAGTGTGTACCCTCTTGGCTCTCTCTTGGCACTACAATATATTTATATAAATATATTTGTGTGTGTGTGTCCGCATCTGTAGCCTGTTATTGTCTCATTATACCGCACTCTCAATGAATTCAAAGTAAATATGTGGGGGAACAATGTTCAGCTGATCTAACAGAGATACAGCACTATGACAAAACACTCGACAGCTGATGCAGCTGTTGCCATGTAATAATGAACGGACGTCTCTTTAAAATGACCGCTCAGAGGAGAGGAGTTCTCATTTCTTTAAACGTCTGCTGCTTCCCCTCCTCTCTCCTCGGTTCCCCTCCTCGGTCCTCCGCTCGCATCTCCTGTGGGCGGGTCTAAGTCTCGAGGAGGGGAACCGAGGAGGGGAGTCGAGGAGGGGAAATTTGAGTATTGAGAAGCCTCTTATGATTAACAGAACAGAACTGTGAAGCTCGTCACGTGCCTCAAAGGTTGAGAAGGAGGGGCCGTTAGTCACGTGCCTCAAAGGTTGAGAAGGAGGGGCCGTTAGTCAGGAGGGGCCGTTAGTCACGTGCCTCAAAGGTTGAGAAGGAGGGGCCGTTAGTCACGTGCCAGGAGGGGCTTAGGTTGAGAAGGAGGGGCCTATAGGTTGAGAAGGAGGTGCCGTTAGTCACGTGCCTCAAAGGTTGAGAAGGAGGGGCTTGAGGTACTGCGCACTGCAGTGAGGGGCTTCTCGCCATTTGTGGTGTGTGTGTGTGTGTGTGTGTGTGTGTGTGTGTGTGTGTGTGTGTGTGTGTGTGTGTGTGTGTGTGTGTGTGTGTGTGTGTGTGTGTGCGTGCGCAACACATTCTCACTCCCATCCCGTCACATATTGACGGACGGTCAGGGCCCCTCCCCGTCGCTATATTACGTACAGCGGACCCCTTGACCGTCAGGCTTCTACGGGCAGGGCGTCCCATAGACCTTCATAGACCACGTGATCAACAACAATGGCCGACCTTCGTGTTATTCTCGGTGGAAAATGCCTATTTTAAGGTTCATTTGGCCAATAAAATGCGTTTTGATGTCATTTTATGCGAGTAATGAGTTTTTATTTCTGATTATTTGTGCAGTACATGTACATGATGTTTAGTTTGCTAGTTATGACGAAGATTACTTCATGAATGCATGCATGGTTGCTAAGGTGGTTGCTATGGACGCTGCAACAGCTCCCAGACCATGTGATCAACAACAATGGCCGACCTTCGTGTTATTCTCGGTGGAAAATGCCTATTTTAAGGTTCATTTGGCCATTAAAATGCATTATTTTTGTCCAACTAGTCTCTACATTATGAATTTGATGTTTGTCTAAACTGCTAAGAAGCTGACAGCTGAATTAGAACAGAAAGACATGCAGGCCATAATCACTAGACGCTCAAAAGAGGAATGTGTGTGTAAGGCTTACATGAACTGAATTGAAACACTGTCCATTAGTTGATTAATAAACAAGACATTCAAGTCAAACTTTTAGGCATTTTCATTTGTAGCAGGCTGAAAATATGGACTATGAATGAACACATGCAATGTGGAAACACACAAATAGGTTTATTCTCAATACTCATAACAGTATCAGACACAATGACTTTACTAAGAGTGAAGATGACATGAACATAGTTACTGTATGGTACTGAAGACAACATACAGTATATTGCATTTACCTCTTCCTCTAACTCTCTCTCGAATATTGGCCTCCATTGTTGTGCACAACAAAGTGTTCAAGCTCAGGTTTCTAAGTGATATCATTTTAACATGTGCATTCTGGGTGCAGGGTTAGTAGGGCTAACCCATATCTGTTCAATAGATGAAAGGCAACTTGAGTTTAATAATTGTGCCAAAAGTACCAGTTTGTGTCTTGGTAATTGCACAAAGCTGTAATAGGCCACAAATAATCACATTTTTCTAAAAACACAGCAGCAAAACCTATTTTATCCACCCAAAAATGAAGGCCCACCTGAAAAAAAATCGCTATTTTTAGCATTAAATAATGTACACTTAAACTGATATAGCTTTTTTGGTGGAGAAAAGAAATGTTGCTTTTGCCCACGTCCTCAGCAGTACATGGCTCTGCTGTGCCGGGGCTCCTGTATGTTTCTCCACACGACTACTGTAGGTAGTACACTGATTATGGATATATACCACACACTACCCCACTTCAAAAGACCATAACTGTCCCGTGTGTAGTTTTAGTATTTGAATTACAATGACATTATTCTCAGACTTGCCATAGTTCTTGGTTTGTACCACTGCTGCTCTGCTCTGTACAGCTGAGTACTGGGGACCCACTGGGAGTCATGTGACTGGAGCAGGAGAGTAACACACGTCACACCTGCAGCCATGATGCTCCAGCTCAATGGGGGTCGAGTCTTTCAGCCCCACCTGTAAGAAGAGAAACAAAATAAATACGTATTCAGTTTGCTTTGTATTATTTATTTTAGGGTAACATTTTGGTTTAATAACATTGTGCTATTTTAAGGAGTAAATAAGTCATATATTTTTTCCTAAATGTTTTCTATACTTACAACTTCTTATACATACTGATATGAATT